AAAGAGTGTTGCCCTGGCAAGCACCATATGTTTCAAGGGTTTCTTTTAAGTTTTATAGGAAAATAGTTACTAAAATTTCATACCACCTTTTTCAGACAGGTGTAGCAATGAGTATTGTCCAGGGAAACTAGCTGAGACCAATAAATTCATACTGATTGACATGAAAGTGAAACAAAAATCTGGCTCTAAAATTGAATCTATGATTGTGCTCCACTCAGGAACAGTAAAAGGACTTGATTGTAGGAATCAGTTGTATAGCTAATTTTACACTCATTTCAGGTTCTTTTTTACATCATAAAACATACAGTATGGCATTCCTATGAAGACAGGGAAAGTGCTACAGATCCAAGTCTGTATTACGCTTCCAGTGTTTGTACAGAAGGGGCAAACAAAATACGCTCAAATCTTCACAAGGCCTTATTTACTTAAAATTAGGTTTCTCATTGATTGAATAATGATTGATCAGATTTGTATACATTTCCCAGGGTTTTCTGCTAATGTGTGTGGAGGGTTGGAATTTCTCCAGGGAGAAGAATTAATTATCGAATGCCATGTTACTTCATGATATCTTTTCCATATATGTATGTGTAAGTGCTATCTAAGCTAAATTCTAAAACAGCTGTTACTGCAGAGACATTTTTCTGAATTAGGTAAACCTAGTCAGTTGTTAGAAGGTAAACTGTATTCCAGATGCATCTTTCTAGCAGCACATCTAAGTAAGCCAGACATGCACTTGGCAATTGTGTGTCCACCATTCTCTTGAATAGATTTGGGTCTGAAGAACTTAAAACCAGTTTCTAATACTTGTTTAATTTTCATGAAGAGAAGCCACAATTTTCATGAAAGTGAATTCAGTACAATGCATAGATATTCAGTGTTTGTCATGTTTCTTGAAATGAGAAATTGATTATCTTAAAAAATGACAGCTTTCTAAACCTGTAGGTAGTTGTAATTAGAATAACACAGTCATCCATCTGCTGTGGAATCCCTCAGGATTTCAGTCTATTATAAAATTTGCAAATATGGAAAAATCAAATTAGTTTGGGTTGTTATCATGTTCAAGATGAGAGAAGGAAAAATATCTGATAAACCGCTATGCAGTTGCAGTGTTTAATTATAAACAGCAACACAAATCTTACTTGAAGTTTACTTTCTGCTAGCAGCAATGATACTGCTGTGATGTGGATTTAGATGAGTAAAATAGCATACAATATGTACATTAAATGTTAATGAATGCTGTCTGTCCCCTTTCCCAGAATTAATTCTAGTTTGCTTTTGTTTTTTCTTTCTTCTTAAAAAACCCTGAAAAGTACTGAAAACCAAATCATTGATGTCTAGCTGTAATAGCCAATAGGATGGCAAGAAACTGAAATTTACTATAGTAGTAAAATAGGCATTATGCATTAGGGATATGAAGTTCCTAAAACAGCCACTTGCTCATCCTGTTAGCAAATTCCAGTTCATTGCTATATAAATGCTTTATGGAAATATATTAGTTTTCTCTAGGTTCCAACAAACCCACTTCTTAAAGAGTCCCACTTGCAGAGTCATCTCGTATGTTGGCATCTGGAGTTCTTAACTGATCTCTGCCATGTGTTGCAGACTGGGACTGCTACAACCTTTCAGGACCATCTGGGTATTTTGGTAGCTCTGGTTGTGCAGATGACCTTGCGGTTGACTTCTCTGTTTCCACCAGACTTTGTCTCTGAAACAGCTCTACCAGGTAGTGCCAAAGGGACAGAACCTCAGGGATTTCAGGTCTTGGCCATAAAACTCAAATGTCATGGTGTGTTCCTTCTCTACATGAGGCTTAGTTCTCTGGCTGAACAAAATCTCATAGGAACTTTCTACCATTTAATGAGCGCTTAATCTTCTAAGTGTCAGGTGGATCGGGTAGTGAACTGAGAAATTTTAAAAAACACAGACGGGAAGCTATCACTGGAGAGCTGATCAGGAGTAGCAAATGGGGAATACAGGTCTATAACCCCAAATTGGGATTTTTCATGTGTAGTGGTTTTTGTTTGTTTTTTAAAGTTATCACTGACAATAGTTTACAGTCCTCGGTGTTTCAAAGGAAGCATTTTCTCTTTTGAATGAACAAGATTGTGTTAAAGAGTGGATTTAAAAAAAGATTTGAGAACATGCATAAATACAATATTTCTTATGATTAGCTTATCTGAAGTGTGTTGTAGGTTGCTAATAAAAAAAAGCAGTTGCAGGGCTAAAAAAAGTATCATTTACATGTAAAAACGGTCCATACTTACTGCTGTGGCATTCTTTTTTAATGCATTTTAGAATGAGAGATAAAGTCAGCTTTCTATTATAATGATTTTTAAAAAACTTGTAAATCAGCTCCTAGAAAATTCTTCAAGTCATTAGTTTAATTTTGGCTTAAATTCTATTTTACTGTGGTTTACATTTTTAAAGAAGGAAGTGTAAAATCACCTGTTCAACACAGATTTTTTTTTTTTCATGTATTATATAAATAAAAAGCTGCCAAAGCATGTTGTTCATTCTGTTTAATAATAACCACAGAGCTGTATCATGTTGTTATCTAACTCGTGGTTCAGAGAGGTGTTCTACCCTTTGAGGATAAATGGCATTCTCATTTAGAAAATTGACCTGTTGATGCCTTTTGTTGTGAATCCCATTGTGTTTCAAGACAGTTATATCAGGTGTTTTGATAAATATCTGTCAAATTAGTTTTGTTGAAAATTAATTTCATTGTATTAAATCAGAGGTATGAGCATCATTACTATCAGAGGTATGAGCATTACTATAGTACAGTCACAACATACTTCTGCAAGCTTAATAGTCAAGGTTTTATCCATGGATTGCAATGTGCAGTATTTCAATATTCCACTTAATAACAATTTTCTAACCTTCATGGAGCATTTAAGGTTTCTAGCTTCAGTTTTTAATCAGTGGGAAGTGTCCTTTGTGTATTCTAAGTGACTTCATAGTTTTCTAAAGCCTGTTCTTCCCAGTCTGTTGATTGGTAAAGAAAATGAAAAATCAAATATTCTGACCCAGGACAAAGAACCACACAGTTTGTGTGTTCCCATTGTGAGTTCTGGATTGTCAGCAACTTCACTGCCTAGTATATGGAGCTATCATACACTGGTGTACAGAAGCAAGAGTTTTTGACTTGATGAGGCACTGTGTAATATAGAATTGTTATTCAGTCCAAACTCTATGTTAATTTTATCTTCTTTCATAATCATAGAATCATTAGGTTGGCATAGACTTCTGAGATCATCAAGCCAAATCATCAACGTAATACCACCATGCCCAATAAACCATGTCCCAAAGTGCCACATTTACACATTTTTTTGAATACCTGCAGGGACGGTGACTCCACCACTTCCCTGAGCAGCCTGTTCCAGTGTTTGTCCACTCTATTGATAAAGAAATTTTTCCTAGTATCCAATCTAAACCTCCCCTGGCACAACTTGAGGCCATTTCCTCTTGTCCTATCACTTGTTACTTGGAGAAGAGGCGAACCCCCACCTCAGAGCCTTGCTACCCTCGAGCCGATCAACACTCCACCCAATTTAATGTCATCTGCAAACTTACTGAGGGAGCACTCAATCTCTTCATCCAGATCACCAGTAAAAATGTTAAACAAGACCAGTCCCAATGCTGAGCGCTGGTGGACACCGCTTGTGACCGGCCGCCGGCTGGATTTCACTCCGTTCACCACCATTCTCTGTGCTCAGCCATCCAGCAAGTTTTTAACCCAGCAAAGAGTGCACCTGTCTAGGCCATGAGCTGACAGCTTTCCTAGGAGAATGCTGTGGCAGACGGTGTCAAAGGCTTTACTAAAGTCCAGGTAGATGAC